ATCGAACCACATTCATATTTTCCTTCGATCTGCTCTGACTTCGCGGTGACGCTCGTCGTCGCATTGCCGTTGCTTGGAATAGCACTCCCTCTGCTATAGATGGGAACGCGGCCTTGAACGGGTATGGAACGGAACCGGCCGCTGGTGTTCTGGGAGAGTAGGGCAATAGGAGAGTACCAAATTGTGTATAGACCCTCCTATTCTCCTATTCTTTTCCGAAACACTAGCGACCGGCGCCGATTGGTACCCGTTTATGAAAGCCTTGCAGTGTGTAGCATTATAGCGCTATTGCAACGGTAGCGCGACGACGCATGTCATCGCAAAATCTGAACGTGGCCCTGCGCAAACAACCAGACCAAAGGAGGGTTTGAAAGTTGTTGGCCTTGTGGAAAGCTTCAGAGCGCGTGGTCTATCGTGAACCTTTAGGAACCGTGCAGGTCCTATGCGGAACTTCATTGTTCATTACATAATCATTTACCTACAGGAAAGCTGATACATCCGTAAATGGATCCTTGCGAAAACTCTCAGTTGCTGCACTATTGCAGTGCTTTGCTTCAGGATGACAACTGTGAGTCCGGAGCGGAAGATGCGGAGGGTGAAAAGGCTGTGACAAAGGAAGTCGAAGATGACCCCGAACTAGGAACAGCTCATCAAGAAGATGAATCGAAGAAGAACACGCACACATTTTCTCTCAGAAGGCGGAGGTGAGTTTTCTGCAGTTGATGGAAAACTTACCGATACAGAAGGAACACATTTCTGGCTATTGTCATTAGCGGGTTCCACCAGTTTCATGCGAATAATCATTTGCGCAGTTACTCCACAGTGAAATTGAAAAAATCACTTTGAAAAAGTCCTACTTTCTAAGGTTCCTCAACAGACTCAGCAAAGCTTCCCAGGATTCAGCCGTGTACGTTTTGTGTCGTATTAAGCGTGCATACATGTTGTGTGCAAATTGTGGTTGTGTTTTCGTACAGTGGCATGAACTATCGTCTTCTAATTTGTCGCGACCGCTAATCGTATTTCCATCGAAGGCAGATCATGTTTGTCGGGTGGGCGGAGCTGGGAAACGGCGTCAGCTGCGCGCCCCTTAGGGCAGGCACATCACTGACATCGTTCCCTGGCTCCTCCCTCTCGGCCACCCCCAACGGTGTACTTAGAAGTTCCTGCAAACTTCTGAATGCCACGAATGTTACATATGTTGTTTTCAGCACCCGTCGCCCAACTACGGAACAAAAAGCATTGATTGCTTCAATTGCTCGTTTCCAGCGCAAGATCAAAAAGGTACACCAGTTGATCTGAAACTTTTGTTCATCTTCCCTTCGCATTTGTCATGTATATGATCATGATCACCGCAAGCGATAGGGTATGTGTCGAAACGTGGATTGGAGCTCTACCAAGAAGGCCTTTCCCACTAATGATGCCACTTTTAGTCAGAAAAAACTGCGAGAAAGGCTGTTGGGTAGCTTTCAGACTCCGCGGAGTTGCGCTGCAAGGCGCTGTGACGCGCGTCGACGCGCTACCAATGCAAAAGCGCTACAGCCAGGACGCAGATAGACGTGCATTCGATCTGCGCTGGTCATTATGCTTTGGGAGAGTGTATTGAAAATAGGAGAACAGACTCTGCCGGCGCAGTTCGACGAT